CCACGAAAGCTTCTTATATTTCGGCGCAATTTGCCTGGCATTGGCGAAATTCTTTCGGCGCAATTTACAAACTGGTTTCGGCGATTACTAATCGCCAAAATTTGCCTGGCGTCGGCGAAAGTCTTTCGGCGCAATTTGCAAGCTGGTTTCGGCGAGAAGCGCGGTCCTCGAGTCGGCGCAATTTGCCTGGCATCGGCGAAATTCTTTCGGCGCAATTTGCAAGCTGGTTTCGGCGATTACTGTTCGCCGAAATTTGCCTGGCGTCGGCGAAGGTCTTTCGGCGCAACTTGCAAGCTGGTTTCGGCGAAAAGCACGGTCGTGAAGTCGGCGCATCTCCTGGAAAGCGCCGATTACTGATCGCCGAAATTTATATTCGTGTTGACCGTTCCATCATTCCGGCGCACCATTCCGAAACATGCTGCGATCTGCCCGTGTGTATATGTACGTCAGCATTGTCCGTTCGCTATAAATAATCAGTTGTCTTTATTTTTAACTCTCCTCGTGCTTGGCGGTTTCTATACTAGTGCCTTTTGGTTCCTTTCTGTGTCCTTCGCGATGTCGGCCGAGAAGAGGTGGGTGATAGCTTGCTTTTCTTTCTAGCATTGCCTTATGCGTCCTGAATGCCGTCGCATTTCCATTTTCGTAGGCACAACGAGAGTCTGTCACCTTCCAAGGTGAAGCGACAGGAGACGATGTCTCCATCCGGGTGAGTTGAAAGCGGAAATGGCGGCGAATCATGGTGACAATCCTAGTTATCTGTTAAACTTGGCTGTTTTGTCGCATTGTCGTGTCTGTGTTGTTTGTTGGGACCCTGATAGGCGCGTCCATTCCGTTGCATCCTTGCTTGTTTTATATGCGAACCCTCGGCACTACAAATGCCTATCCGGTGAAGCATACCGACATGCCTTCTCGGCATCTTTTGTTGGAGCCATTCTGAGCCATTGCGCCGTGGCATTATGTGATCTGCAGCTAGGTTATTAGGAATATTATCTTGGTTGCATTTGACATTGTTTGCATGTAGTTGCACTAGCCAAATTCTTCGTTGACCCATGGGTCTTCTTTATGTTAACATCGCTGGTTGCTCTCCCGTTTCGTCTCAGGGCGTCGTCTGCGGCAAGCGCCATTGCCGGCAGCCCCAGGCTCCTCCGACGGCTTGTGGCGTTCCAGCCGACACTGGCTTTTGCTCCGCAGGACAGCTTGGATTACGCAGTCAGGGACAGCCATTGCGTGTTGATCGGGCCTGCCGTACCAGGTGCCGACGATGGCGACATCTCCATGTCGGCGGTTGCGCTAGAGGTCAGCGGTTCCTGCATTGAACGCTTCCGTGACGCGCTCGGCAACATTGTCACCGTCGACCCGGTGGTGGGTGCGGCCATCCAGTCGACAAGGCCTCTTGCACGTCTGTCGCAGCTGTCCTACGTGCAGCTGCATACGGATGGACTGGCGAATGTGGTGGTGAGTTAATTGTTTCGGGATAGTGACTTCGGGTCGTGTTTCGTGTCATCATGTGTGGGTTACAGCCCTCCTGATTGCAAGTGTTCCCGTTGAGTCTAACATTCGGATTTCCTGGTTATGTACCTTTTGCCTATGCAATAGGTGGAACCCACTGATCGGTTCATCGAGCTCGGCCCTCATGACGTGCGGATACTGCCCAATCCACCTGTTAACGACAACCCCAACGTCGCCAACCTCGCCCCGACGCTCATGGTCCCGTACGGCACGTTCACTGAGTACGTCGGCAACGGGGAGACGTACAAGAAGGTGGACGCCATGATCGCCGTCCAAGACGTTTCCGGACCGGTGCCTTTGCCTTTCAAGGTATCCCTGAAGGCGCGTGCTGCTGCCCTTCCTTCCGCGATGGAGCGACTGCTGCAGAGCGCAGCCTCCCAGCAGCTGCCACTGTACGCGAACGGGTTCCATGAGCGCAAGAACCCCACGTACGGAGGTGAGGCCCTTTGGCTGCTTGCCTTGCTTTGTCATGTGGCTCTTTATTGCTTTATTCGTTCTTCGTTATTGCATTGGCGACTGTCCAGCTTCACTCGTACATTTGCGATAGTCCTTAGTTTTCTTCATAGCCGCCGCGTAATTTCATCGAATGTAGTCATGTTGCTTCACCGTCACCATCACCATCACCCTCGTTCTCCAACCCAAATCCACCGTAGGAACCATGTGGATCAACAACACCTACTTCTTCGGCGCCCCCGTTACGCGCCGGGTTCAGCCATTCCTGGAGAGGGCTAACGCCGCCATCGCTGCTGCGGGTAACCCTGTCCCGGTTGCGTGGACGAGCCGCCTGGCGCAGGAGTGGGACGCAACCATCGAGTCGGCACTTCCGCAAGTACGTTTGCGACGCTTTGCATCCGTCTCGTTTCTTTGTTTCATGCAATATCGTTACGAAATCCTTCGAATTCCTTTACCGATCAACCCAATCGATCATGCTCAATCTGATCCTATGGGCCATTACATCTCATTAATGACGATCCGTTCCTTCGTACAGTTTACAAACTTGCTGATTGCCAGTCAATGGTTGAGGACTGCCTTTCACCTTGTACGGCTTAACGATCGCGGGTATCTTCTCTCGTTGCATCAATGCAGGACGGAGTGATGGAGAACGCCTCCGTCCAGCCTCTGATCGTCAGGCCCGTGCTTGGCGAGGCCCACGTTTTCCCGATGGCCCTCACTCACCAGGGTCGCCACTACGCGGTGTACGCTGACACCCTGGATGTCCTCCGCCACGTCCCCGGTTACGTCCAGGAGTTCGGCGACGTCGACATTTCGGAGGTGCCGCAGCGGTCCCTGTCCCGCTTCCTGCAGGAGCCGTTCGATCTGCATGTCGACGTGGATATCCGGACCATTGACCGCCACACCCGGATCGTCCGCATGACGCCGCGATAGTAGGGTAGTTGATTGATGCCCGTGCGGTCGTTATGTTTGTCTCGGCAGGGACAACTACATGCGGAGTACCATGAAGTGCGGGGCAGTGTTGCGTCAGGTGTCGCTGACATGTCGAATGGTCCCTTCTGGATGGATTGCTGTTGTCGTACACACTGCTATCCCCACCGTCTGTACGGTATAAGAAATGGAATGTTGGTGTGGCCGTGTTGATAAGAAATGGAATGTTTTGGTGTGGCCGTACATGTTGCTGTCTTTCCGTACATTCTGCTGTGTCTACCGACCGCATGTGCCTATAGGAAATGGACCGAATGACAAGATGCGTCGGTGGTGCATGTGATGTGCTGCGTCGTTGCCTGATGCGTATGCCCATACTATCGTTTCAATACATTGTCTCCGTAAGGACTGCCGTTTGGGGATATTGGATACGTTTGCATTCGAACGTTGTTATTCGATCGCAGCCCTTGCATGCCGTTTTTTTCTTACTTTCTGTGGGTCGGTGAGGTCGCACCTGCTGCTATCCTTCTGTACATTCTGCTTTCTGTGTCGTTGACGGTTGAATGGATGACATGGGGCACCGATGATATGGGTGACATAGACCGTCACAGCATGATAGCAGCTCCATCACGCAATAGGTCTGTACGGGTTGCATGAACTGGACAGCAATTGCCACACCCAATTATGATGTAACAGACAAGAAAAGCTTCGGTACTTACATCCATCACCTCGCTATCCACTAGCTAGCCCCAATTAATACGATCCATAACCGTCGCTGTACCGTTCAGCAGCCATCATCATGCACAACTCTATCGTACACATGTAGTTGTGCTTCCGCTTTCAGACAATCACCTGCGCCGGAAACACGGCAACATGTACGGCCTTACCATGTGCACATGCGGCGATCCCACAACCTTACCGACGGTTCCAATCATCACCGACATGCAACGTCTACTACCAAGTTGCGCCAATTCAATCCAAAAGGGCCCGTTAAACATTTAAGAAGACACAGCTTAACAGCGACGTCGCCGGATCTCTGTTATGTGGTGAGACATGTACAGCAACGTCGCCCAATCCATGCAATTGCAGCATGCAACGGCAACGGCACCCGTTCCAACGTTACCCAACTCGCCGACTCGCCAACTCGCACATCGCCAACTCGCCAACTCGCCACATGCAACTTGCCGCCTCACCCGTTGTAGCCCCCACACGCATGCAAGCATCCCCGCTTTAATCCCCCCGCATATTGTGCAAGCTCTACACACCCCCTCGCGTCATACATTAGCACAGACACAGCCCGGCACATGTGCAAAGTAAAGCAAACAATACTCTCATGCCGCTACCCAATACTCTCATGCCGTTACCTCAACACTCTCATACCGTTACCCAACTTGCGTGATGCAAACCCAGTTAAACATATCCCAGCGTATCCATGCTAGTGCATGCGTGTAATGCTACATGCATGCTTATCCCTTCCTGTCTTTTCCGCCGCCTGCTTCCTTCTTACGCCGCTCTCTCTTCCCTTCCTTAACCTCCTCATCTTCCCCCTCCAGACCAACCCGAGATCCCGTCCCCTCTGCACCGTTTCGAGTTTGGAAGATGTATTCCGTCCGCGGCCGTGCCAGGACCGCGCTCTCAGCAGCTGCATGCGCCGCGTCCGCCGCCGTGCGAGCCTCGGCCTCACTCGCCGGCGGAATCTCGGACAGGACAGCATTGAACGCATGTTGCGTGGCGTCCGCGGGCGTTGAGGAAAGCCGAGTCATTCTGCCGTGCCACTCCTCGATGAGCTCCCGTGCCCGCCTAAACCTCGGCAGCTTCTGGGGGTCTGCCGGCAGCCTCCAATCAGGTCTCGGTGAAGCAGCCGAGAACAGCCCTTCCGGCAACCGACGCAATGGACGGCCGCCGACTTTAGCCCAGCCTGCCAGAAGCCGATGGATTGACACCACCACCAGGCCTGTCAAACCGGGCGTCGTCGGCGAGTCAACGTCCTCGCTGAACAGAAGGTCATCATCCGCCGGCGCGCCCTCCATTGGAAACCATACAACAGCATGGCAGTTAAACGCGGCTGTGTCAAGAGATTCCTGCCCCGCGTGCCGGTGAAACGCCGTCTTAAGGTCGAAGATCCGCTGGAGGGCGTCGTCTGTTTCTGAACAGCTGTCACATAAGCACAGAACCGGCACAGAGTAGCCTCCCCATCCATGCTCTGAGTGGCCACAGATGACGACACCTGCCCGTGGCTGGATGCCAGTCTTCTTTACGTCGCTCACCACTATAGTGCCCGGTGGCAGCAGGTTTCCAACCACCGCCGATGTGAACCGCCCGGTCTTTGGAGGGCCCCACACGGCACGAAACGGTAACGGCGGCGGCAGCTGCGCAAGGACCTTGCCCGCCCGGCTGCGCGTTACCGCAAAGTCAAACATGTTGACCGCTGGTATGTTATCATCATCCATCTGCACCGTCAGCGGCGTGCTTCCGGTCACGCTGGCATATGCTGCCCGCCGTTCGTCCTCCGTTGCGTTAGGCTGCCTCGTCGCGTTCAGGCGGAAAGCTGAAGCTATGTGGCTCACCAAACCCTCCAGCTCGTTAAATGGGAAGGGTATAGGGCCCGCAGTACGTGCGTGCGCAGAAACGGCCGCTTGCTTGCCTGTCGTCGCCGTCCCCACCTCCCCTTCCTCCTCCACCTCCTTCCCCTTCCGCTTACGCCCCTGGCTGCTAGGAGATCCACCCGCCAGCGCCTGCCGCGTAACAGCAGCGGCACCGCCAGCAGGAGAGGCTGCCGCCGAGCGGTTGTCGTACAAAAGACCGGGCCGCCCTGCCTCGACAAGAGCGGCATGGATGCCAGCGGCCTCCCGCAACAGCTCCTCTTCGTAATCGCTGCTCATCCGCGGCACTCGCTGGGTGCTGATCACCTCATTCAGCACCTCCTGCACCGTCGCCTCGAACACAAACACAAACTCCTCGTTTGACAACGGCTGCTCACTAGTTCCGCTGCTGCTGACCGCTTGCAGACGAGCCCATGCGCCGACGTCCATCAGGATTCGCTTGTCCGGCCCGAACCCCACTGTCTGAGTTAGCATTAGGTACTCGTCTGACCTGAATTCCTTCTGGACATTACCGCTGATGTTGCTGTTAACTTTGGACAGGTCGCCTGCTGTTTCCATAGCCTTCGCACCGACATCAAGTACAATGCTATCCACATGCACGTCGCATGGCTTGTACTCATCTGCTGCAGGGAGACGTACGAAGGCTATATCGTCGTCCTCCTTCCGCATCACCCTGCTCTCCGTGACGATACACCAGCCACGTGCTGCCAGATGCCACACGCCGCTCTCCGGTGCATCCCTGATTCGCAAGCACGGAACATGCTGACCCGTCCGGCATGTGCTCACTGTGCAAGGACTGCACCGGAGAGACGCGCGCGCTCCGCCGGTGGCGACAACGGCCTCGGCGTCGGCAGCAACGCCCACATCAGCGCCAGTCTGAACGGCGGTACCACCGCTAGCTGCAGCGGCAGCGCTAGCACCGGCGGCAGCATCTGCACCAGCCGTGGCAACTGCTGCAGCGCCACCTACAGCGCTGTCACTTCCGTACGAATAAGACCGTCCCCAAAACCTCTGCAACCACGTGACACGGCAGCGGGTATCCGTCAGGGCACCGATGTCACAGTCCGTGTCACATGGAACCAAACAAGCGACAAGCATAACAATGAAGTCAGCATCGGCAAAGTTTTTTCGGCGCAATTTGCAAGCAAATGTTTCTTGCTACAACTGCCACCTTGTCGTCGCAACGCGGCTATGGTCACAGCGCATGCCTGGCATCGCAACGAATTCTTTCCCAACTATCGTTTCGCTTCTCAACTACTTTTACCTTTCTATTCCAATTTATAAACATGTACGCGAACATCAACCTTCCTCTGGAAAATCATCCCTCGTTTCCGTTACTCACCGCTGAATTGTCCGTTTCCACCAACTCCACTTGTGACCGGCTTAAACGGATAGCATGACAGAACTCCTCCACAAGCTGCTCTAAGTCCGGCTCCAATGGGAGTCTCATAGCCATCCTTGCGCGAACTCTGTCAACTATCTTATGCGATGGTGATACTTAATTGTTTTCCACGTGTGAGGATCCGCTTCCCTCTATTTGTATTCCACTATCTGTGCGCACAAACTTCTGCGCTTCGTATCCACCTTTCCATCGTGCCGTACAATGCCTTGTCCTTCCTCATTAACCAATCCCCGCTATGCTAACATCCGTCTCATCAATACAACATACATCAACAATCGTCGTTCTTCCGTATCCAACCAACCTTTCTCTTGAGACTCTTCGCTCGTTACCTCCTATTTAGTCCTTCCGCCTTTCCGATCCTACTTTCTTCCTTAATTGTCATGGCACCGTATCTGAGCAAGTACCTTGCTGTCACGGCGCAATCCGCCCTCTCCGGCCGCCTCGTGCAGCACGCCTGCGATCTAGCAGACAAAGCAGCGCAAACCTTTGCAGAGCCAACATGCACAGGTAAATCATGCGTAATTCATACCTGCATGTGCCATCGCTTCATTCCTGCGCGATTCCATCCCAGGACCCTCGTTGGAGGAGCTTAATGCTGTCATGCCGGAAGGTTTGTACCTTGGCCTTGTTGTCCACCACGATGCACACAACGCGTTTGTCTTCACCGCCAGCCCACTACCATCGTCTGGCACTTCGACCGCTTTGCGCCGTTGGACCGCGCGACGTATCACTCCCAATCGTTTGGAACCGTGCAAGGAACTCTCCGACATCCCCTCTCCGCAGCGCTTCTTCTTGGAAGTAGGCGTTTCTGTTGGCACCCAGGATATCAACAATCCCCAGGAAATGCTAGATCGCCTCTGGACCACACCTTTGGAGCGCTTTGTCTGGCCTGTCGCCTACCTCCATCACGGTGCTTATACCACCGATGCGCGCTCTGATCCCTCCTGGAACCGTGCGCTTAACCTCCATCCTGCTGCAGCAGCTTACCTTTACGCTCGCCTGGTGAGTGCCTCCCCACGCGGGATCTCTGCATCGTCTTACTGCCTCCCTATCCATTCTCTCCACCATGTAGTGAGATAATATATGGAAACCTGGGAACCGCTCTCGAATGCCGCCTTTGACATCCAATGCCAATCTTCTTGATTACCTTCCGTGCCTTCCGTTTTTTTACCTCCTTCCTTCCCCCTCTCCTCCCCCCCACCCATCCTTCCATACCCCCTACCTCCCGTCCAAGGACCAACGATCTCGTCTGACTTACTACGCAGTCAGCACATCCTTCTCCGGGGATATCATAGCCGCTCGGTTGCAGCCTGAGCAGGTTGAGCCCTCCTTCAGCACGTCCCGAGGAAGTGGGCTCATTACCTGGCTTCCTAACCTCGCCATCCTGGACTATCAACACGCCACCATGGCGACCCTCTCCCGTATCCTCCACCTCTTCGATATCGTTGCGTCAGAAACCGACACCACCATCAGGTTTGGCAGCAGGCGTCAACCACTGCAGCATGACCCAGACGCCTACTACAATGCCATCCGGCATCGGGTGCAGACTGCTCCCTCCGGGCAATTTCCCTTGCCTCGTGTGAAGGAAGACACCAGGTGAGACATGCAAGGTGAGAAAACGTGCGCCACCACCGATCGCCATCTAACTTGCATCTTACCAATCCGAATTTGTTTATTCTTCACCCATGCATACCCGTACAACACGATTAGACCTTCCCCTTCCTGAATACCTTACGTTTCACCTTCTACACACGATTTATCGCTATCTCTTCCTTTCACTTACTACAATTTTGCCATCCATGCTTGCCCAAAACCCATCTGTCTTATGGTTGTACGGCATCTGTACGGCATGTGTTTCGACACCGCCTCTCACCCCCCTCTTCTCCCGTCATCACCTACACGTCACTCCAACCCTCCTTGTCACTCCTGGCACCATCTCCCCCCTCACCCAACCTCCTTCCCTCTAACCCTCGTACAGAACCGTCCCACGACAACCATTTCCCCAACTTCACCTCACGCAGTCGCTTCTCAACGACATACTCGCTGTCACCCGCGCCACTCTTCTCCAAGCCGACACCTCCCTGACGGATGTTTTTGACGCCCGCACCAAAAGGGAATGGGCGACCATTTGCCGCCGACGCAGCCTCTCTTGCCCGCCTCTGCTTGACGACTTCCGCTACAACGTACGACAGTTGCCCGACGTCCTCATTAACATCAACCGCCTTACCGTCGCTTTCTCCCTGCTTTCCTCCTCTCATCTCCGCGTTAATTGGTCGGATGCAGAGAACACTCTATGGACGCCGCAAGGTCAGCACGCCAGCACTTGGATGGCCGCCTGCCTTGAACCCGGCATGGTCGTGGAGACAGTATGCTACAAGCACGACGCTAGCTATGATAAAGTCATCACTCGTCGAGCGATGGGCATCGTTCTTTCCTTACCCCCTGAGGCCCCCATCGGCGTCGTCTGTTTCTGCGGTGACTGCGCTACAACTCCTCAGCTCGCTGACCGTCTTCTCCACCTTCCTACCTTCGAGGCTCACGGTTGCACCCGCAATGAGCAGTACCGTTGTCGCTGCTCCAGTGTGCCTGGCTGTGTCCGAGTCCTCGTTCCTCTGCGTGCGGGAACCCCGGTATGGCGACCGTTGTGGAGATGGGCCCGTTTGGAGCAAATTTGCTGCACCAACCGACTGGCGGATCCTGACTTGGACTGGGATGACCTGTGGACAGCCAACCGACCAGCTCTTGCCCCTAACTCACCATTCAACGACGAACCCCCACCGCCTGGTTGGGTGGGCTCTGGTTACCCGTCCGACGCACCGGATGCCATCCTGTGACACTACTCACATTCCACCGTCACCGCCACTGTACGGCGTTAAATGACAGCGTCGATTCTCGACGACACACTCGTTCAATTGGCCCTTTAAGGTGCCGTGGGTTCAAACCCCACACGAGTGATTCCTTACAGACTACTCCATGCGCCCTTTCCCACGGTAGCCCTCAACTATTTTCATATCAACACTTTCACTATTATGTAAACACGCCCATGCAAGCAAGGTGCAAATGCTTGCACGCGTCCCTTCATGCCACAATGGAAATGCATCAAGCACGAATGCATTCATGCGTATGCAGATCACACCCGACAACTAGGCTAGCAGTGCAGAAGTGCTTGAATGCCTGCATATGTGGGTTTCTCAGCGGAAACACGCCCATCTTTGAGGCACTACAAGGGGCCATGGTACAACAGAAATGCGTTCATTTCCGGTTTGCCCGGGAAGGCGGCAAAACCTCATCGGCGCAAGCTGCGATAACGCTTCCTCGAAAAACGCCGATTACCTTTAGTCGAAAACACGACCAACAGATGTTTGTCCGGCGCAACTTGCAACCTCCGTTCGGCCAAAAACATACCCGAAAACGCCGATTACCATTCGTCGATAATTTATAGGCGACGGACACGGCATCGGCGAAAATTTTTCGGCGAAAATTTTTCGGCGAAAACTTTTCGGCGAAACGTTTTCGGCGAAATAGGTGAACACGAAATCGACGCGTTTCTTGAAAACCGCCGATTATCTATCGCCGGAAAACATCGACCACTGCGTCGGCGAAAACATTTCGGCGACAATTTTTCGGCGAAAAAAGTGATCATGAAATCTCCGCGTATATTGAAAAGCGCCGATTATCTATCGCCGAAAAATATCGATATCGGCAAGAATGAATCGGCGCAAACTGTATTCTGATTTCGGCGATAATCATTATCCTCAATTCGACACATCTCCTGATAACGCCAATTACGCCGAGTGTTTGCAGCCCGTGTTCAAGAACGCCGATTGGATAACATCTAATCGCCGAGAGCATACAGCTGTTTCCACCCGTTTCTACCCGTTTCTACAATACACGGGGTATTGTATTCGCGGAGACGCCATGCAGCCATTTTCCTCTCCTGACGAAGTGGAGTCACATCCCACCGACTTCCTCGCGCTGCTCGTCTGCACTGTGATGTCGACTAAACTATAACTGAGTTAACGAGCCATTCGCAGTTTCTCGGTTACTTTATGTAAGGAAGTAATCCTGCCCTTCAGCGAGAGGCGACCTATGCCTCGCGACAGATGCCTTACAACCAATGCTTACAAACAAAACTGGCACGCCAATGTTGGGTCCGCCGAACCCGCTTGTCAGCAAGTGTACCAAGCTCACAACATTGGTCACTGACATCAGGTCCACCAACCTTGATGTGCCTTACGACAAATGGCTTACGACCGGTGTACGCATCACCAATCAGGATTTACGGTACCCCCGGCCGCGGCGACCACGACGCGGCGCTATCCGTCCGTCTGTCTGTCCGTCCGTTCACAAAAGGGGTGGCAACTTCCTTTGAGCGCTAAGCGTTCAGTCCTATCCTGGGCCAGCCAGAGGTCTCCAGTTCGAGCCGGGTAGCGACCTCTTTGCGACTTCCTCGGCACCCTTGGAGATGATGCCTGGGCCTATGGGGATGGTGTTTTGGGAGATCTCGAGTACGACAACACACTGTAGTACGGCAACGCAGTACGGCACGGGTTTCGACACGCCCTCCCACCCCCCTCCATGCTCCCCACTTCCCTCACCACCCCCTCGCCCCTCTAGCACCCCTGAACGCCCCTGCATCACCGTGAGGTGTACGGCAACGCAGTAAGGCATGGGTTTCGACACGCCCTCCCACCCCCCT